CTGTCTGCACCGGAGGATATCCCCACGCCGCCGAGGAGCAAATTTCCGTCTCGTAAGCGGCCGTCGCTTTTCAGAACGGTCGTCGCCTTTCCAATTGCCATATCGATAAATGCAGTTTGACAAATAAAACTTGCATATTTCCAATGCTAATGTTGTAAAACCGATTGTACAACGTTTCGTCACTCATCAGGTGTCAGATCATGGAGCTAGAAAAGGTCGATCAGTTCGAAAAATTTATGTCACTTGTAGGGGTCTACACAAAAAAAAAGGGTAGGGTCGGCAGTTTTTTCTATGGTCGGTCAGGAAACACAGCTTTTTTTTTCTAGGCCTTAGGCCACAGGGGAGGTCAAACACACAGCACTACCAGCGGACCAGCCCCCTGCTGTAGTGTATTGCACAACTGTGTGTCGCCCAAGGGCTACAGAAATGGATATGGGCACCACCCTACGCTCTGCATAAGAAGCATGGGAGACCTTTCCTTTCCTTTCCTTAAGTAATTTTTACAAGCATTAATTTTCGCCTGATTTTTGGAAAAAAAGCAAGAAATTTTGTTGCCTTCTGACAGTGATCACCATGCCGAAAATGTGCAAAGATGTCTGTTGCCATGCCGGAAGGTGGATGGCAGATAACTATGAAGACAGGACACAAGAAAAGGCTCTGATTTAATGTCTTGTTTCTTACTTTGATGCAGTGATATGTGATGTTGGCTGTGTATATGTGATGTTCCCACTGAATCAAAACTATTTGTACAATGATTGAGTCAAAATATTTTTTAATGTAGAAACCTTGTTTTTTTCGGCCCACCTTGTTTTTTTTTCGCCCGCTCGCATTAGAGTTGGAATCTGCGGAGGATGTCATCCATAAAATTTACTTGCTGTGGCCTTACGAGAAATTAGCCGCCCGCGGCGTACGGGTGTCACATCACGTATTTTGTAAACAAGTACGGCTGACATGGAGACAGGCCCGGCGTGCGGGAGGAAACATAAGACGGCCGTATCGGATAGTTCGACGATCGTATGACGGATGTGACGGGGCTCTAAATGCATATGGCATTTTCAAAAACTTACGACATTACAGCAGCAGCGATGTCAAGGAATTACACATTGTCATTTTGCCGTCAATGTCAGTTAGGCCACACCGCCTTCATTTTATGGATGACGTCCTCTGAAAACCCCCAAACTAGTGCGCGCGGGCGAATAAAATAAAAATCCAGCCAAAAATAAAAATGCTACTAAACCACAGGAATACAAAGGCAAAGCTGGTATTGTAAATTTGCGGCAGAACGTAGCGACGTATACGACAAGCAGGCACATGCTTTTTATTTTTTCGAATTTATGAATCGACACTGTACGTATGTACTGAGGTCTTGAGTCGTGGAGCTTTGGTACTCGTAGCCTGGGTGCCGCCCTCCAGAGTTACCACCGGCTCCGTACTGTCGCTATCTAGCAAGCTACCATGGACTATCCAGGCCAGAGCCTCGGATGACATGATCCCTTTTTTTTTTAGAACTGGCGAAAATCAATGCGCGCGCGGATGTCATCCATAAAATTAAGTCGGTGTGGCCTTATCTAAATTGCATAACAGTACACAATTATACAAGTATGCATGCTACATTAAAAGAATATATATCATGACGTGCAGCAGTAAATAAAAACGCCGGTAGGGCCAGACATTTACTTTTTTTCTGGCCGCTATACAGGTTATATACACATGTCAAAGTTTGCACCATACAGGTATAACGAACGAATCAAAATGCAAGTCAGATCCAAGAGTCAGGTATTTCTAATGCAATAGCAAAGTAACTAAAGATAACCATTTCATGTTGAAAACAGACCCAATAAAGCAAATTACTCCAAAATGCCACAAATAAACTAAGGAAAGAAACAAGTAAAATCTGAGATTTTATACCTCCGGGCTTTTTAATTTGTATATTCTTATACAGAGAATTTATCAAGACTGGACACCCCTCTGTGTGAGGGGTCATATACGTGGACCAGCCCGAGAATAGCTAAACATGCCAAAGGTCAACGGTCGCGACCATTTTTACGCTCAAAGGGGTGTTCTGGGGCCACCAAAAGGCACCATTTTCCTGTCCGAAAATACATATAGTATACAATAAAAACAAAAGAACGTGCATCATCTACAGCCCAATAGCAAAACATACACCGAGTCCACCAGTCCATCAGTCCACCCAAACGCGAGAAACAGCTGCGAACATGAAAATCTTTCACAAAACCCTTCCGCGGAAGGATGTCTCCTCCCCCGGAGGTAATAAGGCCCAACAACCGTTCTACAACATCGAATTTTTTTACTGATTTTTTGGAAAAAAATTGGTTGATTTGAAAACGGTTTGGACTTTGGAGAAAGAAAATGAAGGGAAAAACAGATCAGTATGTTTCAAAACGAAAGTGTCGTGTCCTCGGCCTCTCTCTGCGCATGGCTGTTCTATATTAATATGTATGACCAAGAGAGGGGCACCAGGCTACTCTGTACAAAGGTCAGACCTGGAATGTCCATTTCCAGCCAGTTTGCCGACAGGAAAACGGCTTTATTGCGCCCCGTGTTGACCCAAGGTTCATACTGGTCAGTCTTGTCAAGGTCGTTGGAGTTGCCGCATGTAGATATTTAATCGGCTGCTGTACGGACATTTTATTTGCTTTGCTAACATTATAAATAGGGCACCGACTTCTCTGACCTACCACATGTTAACGTTACTCAATCTCTCGTAGCCTGGTATCCAGTCCGATCGTGATTGGGGGTATTGGGGTGTTCAGGCAGGTTGTGTCTTCGGGGGCTCTAATAGCTTCCGCCGCCCAGTGCACCAGACCGTCCCGGTAGGAGAGTTACGCTAATCAGAGACAGTATGCTTGCCAGCTTGGGGATTTGGTTTCCCCCCAACACGATGTTCGTGGAGGGCTAATTAATCTCTCGTGAAATACACACCGGGAAACCTATGTGAGGCGGGCGGGCCAGAGCTCTTACGGCCCCGACCACGATCAGACTGGATACCAGGCTAAATCTCTCGCTGAAAGGGGATGGCTCTGCCGGGTGGGCCGATAGTACTCTCCAAGCAGAGGTTTGGGTTTTGGGGGTATTTTTAGCGTGTTTTTAGGCTTTTTTATCGGGGTTTCTTTTTTGCACTGAATTTTTTTCCCACCAAACCTTGTGCAAAAGAGAAACCCCGATAAAAAAGCCTAAAAACACGCTAAAAATACCCCCAAAACCCAAACCTCTGCTTGGAGAGTAGGCCGATAGGCCGCAGGCCGTAGTACGATTTTTTATGTTGTAGATTTTTTTAAATATTCCAACATTTCATGACAAGACAAGTTGACGGCACACTCAAGTTGTATCAACTTATTTTATGCCGCCACCAACGCAGAGGACGAATACAGGACAAGACAATACTCAGGAAAGTCGTGTAAAGTGCCTTTCCCAAGGGTACAAGATCGGCGGCATGTCAGAACTCGAACCCTGGATCTCTTGGTTCCGAGTCGAGCACGCTGCCGCTACGTCACACGATTTTAGAGCAGACTGTGACAGAACCAACCAAAGTCAAGGCTCTCAGATGACCTTTTCCGACACAAATCACTTCTGCTTGTGATAGTACGATGGTCATACGACGAATATGACATGGGGTCCTAGTCTGCAGCTCAAGCCTAGAATTATCCATATGACGAAAATAATCATAGGTATAAATGATTTGGACTTTATTGACATAATAACATGTCGGTGACACCATCAATGATAGTTGACGTCATACCAACACTAAGGCATATATCACCTATAAGCTGATATATCGCAATATGTGACGGTCTCAGATATTCTGCCCAAGCATTTGTAACTATGGCTGAAGTTAGTAATCTACCAGCTGCAGTGACCCTACACCTGGCTACCTTCCAAGACTTGTGCTATGCATTTGATACACGTACAGACACAACATACAGCGCTTAAAAGAACACAACTGTTGAGCAAGGCGGTAGAATGGCAAATAGCTGAACAATCTATCTGCGATCGTTGGTTAGTTGGTTGGTTGGTTGGTTGGTTGGTTGGTTGGTTGGTTGGTTGGTTGGTTGGTTGGTTGGTTGGTTGGTTGGTTGGTTGGTT